AAAAAAGACACGAGTTCAGCTTTCGGAAGTCTCAGTAGCATTAGCTACAGAAGTAGCACTTGGGGAAATCTCTTCCACAGTCGAGCCACCTGGACTCCCGACTACATTATCATTATTATCCGCATTTGCTGACATTGAAGTCGGAGTAGCGGAACCAGAAACAAAAACACGATCATCAGATTGTTTTGGCCTATTTAAGGCATTGCAGTGTGGGCAGTAGTAAGTGATATATGGAAAGTCTTCTTTCCTTGCAAGCCCTACGAAAACACGGCAAGAAAGAAAAAGAAAGCTGAATAGAGTTAGTTCACCATAGCAACAATCCCAATTAAATTCTACTTGCAAGACCCCTCAATCAATCAATCAATCAATCGGTCTTTTACGTGTTGCCAATTGGATTTTATTTTATGGCACTGGAAATCCATAATTCCAATTACTATGGGAATACATACATACATACCATTCAGTTTACTTACGTCCTTGTCGATAATAATAATAATAATAATAATAAGGCAAATTTGCCCCCTAATATCACGACCTTTATCGAAGTTGCAATTTAATCATGACTTTTTCACTTTTACAAATTATATCACAACCTTTAGTTTATTGCAAACAGTCTAAAAACAGTAACAGTCATAGAAAAGCTGATGTGCTGATGTGGTCGAACAATAAACTGAAGATTGTTATATAGTTTGCACGGGATATGCAAATCGGTGCACCAATTTGCAACAACTGAAGACTGTGATATAATTTGCAAAAGTGAAAAAATCCTGATTATATTGCAATTTCAAAAAAAGGTCATGATATTAAGGGAAATTTTGCCTAATAACAATAATAACGATAATAATAATCAGGTTCCTTTGTCCATTTAATTTCATTTTACTGCACTTTAACCCTAGAATTATGTGTTTTATTCAAAGACAAATCATCAAATACTGAAATGAGTCAACTATTCACGACATGTTATATATCAAGTGAATGAATTTACTCGAATTGTATTTACCGTTGTGCATATGGCAATTCCCACAGATAAGCGCGTACGAGTGAGCTGGGTCCTCCCCCACAAGCAAGGCGGCAAGTCGAGCAATCCATCCTCCGTCATTTGAGGTCAAACCCGCTTGAGGGTGATGCTCAACAACCAACTGCTGCTGATGTGGCAAGTCCACCCCCTCAAACCTTTCGGAATGACTGCTTTCTGAGCTATTGGTTTTCTTGTGGGTGGACTGCTTTCTCTGTCTGAGACCAGACGTATTGGTTCCCAGATCAACATCCTTGCTTTTCCCAGTAGAGGCAGTGGGGTTAGAATCGTCCGCAACGTACACTTTGAGACCAGAATCTGCACCCAACTTTGACGCCAGCACAGTGGCTGCAGCTGCCTTGGCTGCTGGATCCGGGTCATACCTCTGCACTCAAGATTACAAATAAAATATTTCACGTAAGAACCTAACTAATAAAATATTTCCTCTGATTTCATAATGTTACAAATAATTAGCTTTCAACAGTTTCCCAGCTACAAAGAAAACCAAATACAAATATATTTCAACTAGCAGTACTAGCAGAAATCCCAGATAAATTTATTAAGTTGACAATATAGATGACACGATTAGCTTTTAGTGTTTACCTGTATTAGCTGTTGAGTGATGTAGTAATTGGTCTTCTCTTTCAATTCGTCGATTTTGGCTTGCCTCTCAGCCCGAAGCTTTTCCAAAGTCTTATGGTCTTTCCCATCGCCTGTAAATAGAATTTGTGAGTGAATGAGTATGTAAAACTGTCAACAGAGGCATCTAAAATCAAGACCCCACTCAGGATATTATCGATAATGGCTCTAGTGCTTAAAATGAATCATACGTAGAGCAAAAGCTACATAAATAAGTTTGGCTCAAATTATCAGTGAAAAATAAGTAGAAGGTCAAAAGGAGATGTTAAATATCGTATAATCAAGTGGAAAATGAGAATTTAGATCCAAAATCAAGTAACCCGTGGTACGAGAAAAGAAATGAAAGCCAGTTCAATCAGCCTCTCACCTCAACATTTCTCCATTTTTTCAGATAGTAAACATCTTTCTTAAACCCCGATGATCATGCTATTTGGTAATTATTCTTATATTTTAAGAAACAACAAACTTTAAAGAAAAAATCACACTATTTACACCAAATTCGTTATGAAGAACCACACATCTAAGGCACTATTAAACATAAAACCCTACAACTTCACGAAAGTTCAGGTGAAAATTAGTGATTCCAGAAACTCCTTCTCTCAGAAGTTGCTTTGAGCTCTCACTTTTACAGATTCAAAAATGCGCATGATTTCAAACCAAAAGATTGAGCGCATGCAAAACTGAAAAACATCATCACTCTGGGGCCCTGGGAGTCACTATTTATTCTAAAAATCCGTCAAGACAAAAATGGAATGAGCACATTATGAAATGCATGCAGGGAATGACATAGAAAAGNCCATTTCGGTTACTTTTCTTCTAGACACACTTAACGAGGCCACAATCGCATCATAAAAAGTCCACCATCAGAATAAGTACAAAAATGTCTAGCAAAGATAAATATATTTAGAATTGCCTTACAAGTATATTGTGACAAGATAGCAACATTGCACATCAGCATATAAAGAATTAGAGAACCACGGAGAACGATGAAAATTATAACGCACATGTATATGTTAACAGAATGACATGCAAATATTTATTCAAGACATAATGGAATCATAAGAAAGAACAGAACCAATTGGTAGACTTCTAGAAGATATGCAACATAATATTGAAAAGAAATATATTATCCGTAAAAAAAAATTGGAGACCCTTTATTTCAGCTTACCTAGATAAGGAAGTGTAACAATAGTCAACTAGAATCTTGTAAGCATTCTCAGCTGCACTGCCGAGATAACTTACAGAAACAAGCCCCAACTTACACTATAAAGACACAGGAATCTTTCACTAAGAATGGGATCTGGTAAAAGTTGTACAATCTTGCCTGCTCATAGATCTCAAGTCACTTAACCATTCTACTAGGAGATTCGAACTCCAGTCTACAGAAGAAAGCTGGAAACAATGTTGTACTCTTTGAAAACTTAATGCAAAACAAAATTTGTTATGATCTTCGGAGGTTCAAAGCACATATGACCGCTATAGAACTTTTTTTTTTCTGGGGCTCAAACATACGGCCTTCATAGAGAACAAAGCTTGGTACCAAAGACATTCTGAGAAAGCGACTCACCGTTTGGAGATAAAAGTAAAATATAAAGGAATCTATATAGTGTAAAAGATTAGAGTTGAATTTCTTTCAACAACCGCAATACTGTAATAAAATAAAGCAATCAAATATCAGACCTTATAATGACCCCCTATCATATTTCACATAGCGGAACCTCTCAATTTTGGACAACAAGCTTTACATCCAAGTTCTGATTTATGAAAAATTCAGGGCAAAATCATAGAAATAATCGAGAACACATGTATTTTGTGTATCTAAAGAGTAGAAAGAACTAATAGAAGAAGTTAATGCAAAGAGTACTGAAACACATACGCATCCTCGAGAAGCTTCTAAGCGTTGAATAAGTAATGAATGACAATGCTGGTAGCAGAAACATCGGTAAGACTCGCAATGCTCTCGTTTGCCAGTTCAAGTTTAAGGATCTTGTGGTGGTGATAGCAAAACCCACTGCAATAACCTAAAGCCAGGGGGAGCGACATAGATAAGAACAATAGAAACCATTCATGTCCAGCAATGACATTGAGAAACTGGCTATCCATCTACAGGAAATTGAAAATAAATAACAAGATTCAAATTCACATGTTCTCTCTCTTGCACACCCATACATACAAATGTGTGTGCACGCACATCCAGCCATACACACTACTAAGATCAGTGAAATTCAAAATTATTCTCTAAAAAATATAATGAAAGTATTTACCTCAATAAGAACAGAAAATACGATAAAGTGCCTTGTCATCCTCCGAAGACTATTAGAACGCCTCGTTATTCTAGCAAGAACAGCTGCCTCTTCCTTAGAAATATGTTCCAATCTCTTCCCATAATCATCCCCACGTACTCTAAATAGTGCATTCCATATCCTTGATAGAATGCCTTTTCTCTTCTTTGTACTCTTAGCCTCAGAATCTGGCAACACGACAGATTCCACGGCACTGTTCTTAGATTCTGAAGCCATTTTCTGCATGTTAAATGGCAAATTATCATATCGCCTACAAAATATTTGTAGCATCTTAGGAAACAAATCCTCTAGTTTGGCATACCTCTAATAACTGAAGGACACGATTCAAGAAGACAAATAAATACCAATCAATCCATTACTCATTAAGAAAACACCTTAACAAACATTGGGCAAATCCATGCGCATTAACATCAGCAAAATACATTACGAGGCACAATGTCAGACCCAATATAAACTGAAAGAACCCTGACATATAGTCATCTAAACAATGCACCACTTCACACACAAAGGCATCAAAAAAATCTCTATATGGGGGGCATCCAAAATCAAATGAGAAAAAGAGTAGTAAATTAGACATCTCCATGAACAAATAAAAGAGAAAAACATATATAACTGAATTCATGAAAAGAACAATTTCCCGAATCAGTAGTGCAAATAACATTACAGATAATGCAGCTGAACAATAGATAATCAGATCAGAAATTCATTTTTACTTCTTTTTCCAAAAACTAAAGAAAGAAAGAAGGAGAACCAACGTCTTGGCATTTCACCTACCCGAATTAAGTCGTCTTCCAGTTCAAATTCAACTTACGTCAAATCCAAAGGAAGGAAAAGGGAGAAAAAATGAAAAGGAATGGAAAAAAATAATGAATACTTTAGAAGCCAAGAATCAATTCTTTAATGTGGAGCCATACATAATCAGATTAATAGAGAAGTCACAAATTAGTTTATCGAAGTCAAATACTACACAGACTAGCGGCCACCCTCAGATCTAATTCCAGAAAACCAGTCCTGAGCAACACAATACACAAATCAAGGTGAAAAACTGGTAATTCACTCACCTCCCGTGAGATGGTGATCGCTTCACGGGTGATTTGAGGAGAAGGCGTAGGCGAACGAGACCGAACAGTGATCTAGGATTTCTTATTACTTGCGTTATGTAATTTGTTGTGCTGGCTTTGTAATCAGACTATAAAAACTCACCGAAAGGAGTTGAAAGATGACATGAAAGAGAAATGGAGGATGGTGCACTACACCATTTGCATAGGATCACGTAAAATTACCATAATGTTATAATTTCTAACCAATTAAAATTTACGCGACGCGACGCTTTTATAGTGACTTCCAAACTTCAAAATTGATTTGGGACTTGGGAGCAATTAGTATTGCTCAGTTGATACGACGGATATACGGGTGTTTGTTAAAAAATTATTCTTAAATTTTAAAATTAGTGAGAAAAATTATTTTAAATTTATCTTTTTTTTACAGAAAATATATATTATTGTATATTTTAGAATGACACTTGTTACTTGTGCGACTTATGTGTGTTTTGTTATAATAATTTTTATAACTTATATCATATAACTACTTGAAATATAAATATATTAATTGATAAATAATTTTATTTTTTTAATTAATATTAAAAAAAATTATTATTGTTATAAAGATAAATATGATTTATTTTTTTTTATACATACAATATGGATGTTAAATCAAAGTTCATCAAGAGATGATTAATTTGATATTTTATACATATAAAACAGATAAAAAATACAAAAGTTATTAACTTTTAAAATACATTTACAATTCAATGGTTATAATAAAAAATGATATTAAAATGCAATTAATATGCGGACTTAATTATTTTTGGATCGAAAGTAAATTAAAATCTACCCAAGTCTAAGTCTAATAATAAATTATGTAATTTTGCCAAATACGATCTCGAAATATGCCACTAAAGCTCAACATGCTCTGAATTAATATATGGGAAGAATAATTTGTATTGCATTTTAAAAAATAGAATACCTTGTCGGTAAAAAGTTAGCAACTCACTATTAAATAATAAATTAATAAAATTACGTTTGTTACAAATTATAAATGACATATCAATTTCTTTTTTTTTTCTTTGAAAAATGTTAATTTCACATTATTATTTCATATACAAAATAAATAATAATTGTCTCAGATTATTCATATTTATCTAATACCTACCATTGGGATGGGCTCCATATTTGAAATTTTGTAGTAGCATATTTATTTCCATACACGGTTTCGTTATGTGAGCTGTTATTGAGACCCAATTATACTATGACCTCTCCCATGGACGACTTATAAATCAGTTAATTAAAATTGGGTGTAGCCCGTTTTTTATTGATTATTTGGTAGTTGAATATTTAATTTGAATTGAATTAAACTAGTTTTAATCCGTGCATTTGTACGGAAAACAATATAATAGAACAAAAAATAATAAAAATATATAAACAATAGTAAAAATCATAATATAATCATTGAAAAAATGTTCTAAGAAATAATAAGTAACTATTATTAAACAATTCTTTATATACAATTTGTGGTTTTCAATCAACGGAATCTCCATCACTATAAATCACTATCTTCAATTAAGACATATAATGGTTTTATTTTTTTTAAATAATTATTGTATTTTGTACTATAGATCATATAGGAAATTTTTTAAAAAAAATATACTAAAAAAAATCAGCAAAATATTACAAAATAAATAATTGTATTTGGTTGATAAATAATGATATGTGCCAAATATTTAAGACATTTGAACAAAATGGAAATTTTGGGCCATAAAGAAATATATTGATTGAATGATAAAAAAAAGCTCAAATTAGAAGTCCACTTAATTTTTTAGGGTAGCCAAAATCAAATATAAAACATGTCAATGATAACATGACTATAAATAGAGATAAACTCTTTGAGAGTGATGTAAGCCCTTTTTTTTGTTTGATGTCGGCGCTTCTCTCGTTATTCACTCTGTCTGAAACCCTAATCCTTAACCCGATCTTACGACAAACTCGGCGAGATTCAATACAAAACAAATATTTTATCGGAGATTTTCTCCCGGTAAAGGCTTAAAAAATTATAAAAAAACATATGAGTAATGTTGTTTTTGTGGCCAATAGTAGTGATTGAAAAATAAATATTCGTCCCGATTTTTTAATCTATGTTACTAAATCTTAACAGGTCGGTCAAAATCAGGCGATAATATTACAAATCTATGAAGAGCTGAAATATTTTTTGCTAAACGTAATTTTTATTTTTTATTATTTTCAATGATCTATGTCGTTTTTCGAAATTCTTTGTGAATAAGCTTCAAAGATATATCATATTATATACATAATTCGAAATTATTTAGATGTTTTTCGAAATCGTTTTTCGAAGAGAACATGACATTGGTCGAAGTTTTTCAAACTTTTATGTATTTTGTTTTGGGTTTGAAAAAATAGGTAAGTTTCTAACAAATCTGTTCAGCTCTACTAACAAATATATAGATAAGTTTATAACATATCTGTTCATATCTGTTTATAACATACATATGTAATTTTTTATGTATTTTATTCAGATTTTGAACACTAAATAGTTCAATTCTTTCTTGTCTTTCTCATCATATCAGTAAGTGAAGCTTTGCTAACACTTGTTCAAAATCGCTTTTCGAAGTTGTTCAAAGTCTTTTGCCGAAATTTTTTTAGTATTTTGTTCAAAATTTGGAAATATTAGGTAAGTTTATAACAAATATGTCTAGATATATTCATCGCATATTAGGAATTTCTTATTTAATGTTTAAAAGAATCTGTAGGAATTTTTATTTTTAAAACTTTTACGCAAAAAATCAATTATTTTTTTTTTATTTTTTTTAATGTAAAGGAAGATGTCTTGGTAAAAGTTGAATTGTTTCTTTCTATATTGGATAGTGTCCAATAATGTTCCACATAATTTGCTGTGTTTTTAATTTTGATTTTTTCATATAGATTTGACTTTTTTTGGTTGATTATTAATTATGCTTGATATTTCTATATTATGCAACAATCTGTCATTACATACAATGCCTTGTCAATCCTCATTCTTTGACTTTGCCAATTTCGTTTAATATGACTTTTCTGTTGCTGAAAGTATGGTTTTTAATGCATTAAAATATTGATGTTTTGGATATGTTTTGATGGTATAATCATGCAGAAATTTGTCCCGCCACGTTTTTCTTAAAGAGGAATTGTTTAATGAAAATTAATCATATTTATATTTATAATTGGGAAATAATATTTTTTTTCACGGCCAACAGTTTTTTTTTTAATGAAAAATATGAGACAATTTGTTCAACACACTTTTTAATTTATAAAACAGAATGTTGATTGCGATAATCAGATCTGCAGAAATCATGCATTTTATTGAATAGTAGTAATATAAAATATTACTACCAAATGAAAAGTTAAAGATAGTTAATTTTGCACTATTAATTATGATCATATGGAGTTTTTTTATGCATATGTTTTTTCAATGAACTTTTTAAATGATAATATTCACAATATAGACTTTGCTATAATAATTATATAGATTGTGCTATAATAATAATTTTTTTATTTAATTCATTAATTTTTTTTTAATTCATCTTATTATGCGTATAGTCTAAGTTTATGAATTATATGCCATTTAAATGTATCTATACTACTACTTTATAAGGTTTTACCATAGAGCTAAATTTTTAGTTTTAATTATGAAACTAATCTTTCTTATCATTTTGCAGCTATATGTTTGATGGAGTATGACTGGAAATTTAATTACAAAAAAAGTAATTCCATTTTTTATATTGTAATGTAACATGATTTGTATTATAATGTTTGTATTTAATACATTTATTAATATTTTTTTATAACTTTAATTGCTTATTCAATTCATAATGGAATAAAAAAATAATAATATATAGTGTTTGCACAACAATAATGACTGCCACGTTTATATATATAAATGAGAATAAGAAACATAAATGTGAAATTAACTAAAAGAAATCTTTTTAATTTAGCCATTAATTAATTAGGTTTAACTAAAAGAAGCCTTCTTAAATGTGGGATTAGTGAGTAATTAATTAAAAAAAATGTGTAGAAAAAAATTAAGTTCAGAGTAAACACTCGTTATATAAATATTTAGATAAAATTTATTTGCAAATAAATGGTAAAAGTTAGTCATTAATGAACACGTAAAACATTAGTTGTGTGATTCGAATAATCTAGAGTCATATCCCACTAATGCGCGTGAGGGCAGTCGTCTAAAGAATGTGTACAACCGAGCTCTATGTGCACGAATTAAAGAACAACAAATGGCATGTTGCCAGGGTGTCGCGCTGCGACAACCATCGTGTCGCGAGCAGGGTCACGAGACCGCCGCGATGGCAGAGGTTGAGGGCTAGGCATAGCGTCGCGCCGCGATGGTCTGACGGTTTTTCAGGGCGGGATTAGTTATTTGATTGTTTTTGTTTGAAATTTTAAATTTTGTTTGGTGCATATTTATTTAATGTTTAGGTTTGTATTAACAATTATGATTTTCTAGTAAAATAAATTAAAAAAACAGTCGTTTTCGAGCATCCGTGTCAAAATCAAGGCCGATAGTGCGAGTTTTAATACAAAATACCGATAGTTGATACACGATTCTTAACACCCACACTAGACTCTTAAATGAAGATAACTTTCTTTATTATAATAAATATAGATGGAGAGGTCACAACAAAAACAAAACTATGCACCAAGTGTCGGTGTTTGCTTCGGCTACACGCACGCCGCGCGGGCACGGACTCGGCCGGCCTCGTCCTAGGCCCTGGATCTTGGGCCTTGGTACCTGAAAATTGGACTATAGGTTGGACTTGGACGGTTTGTACCGGTGTTGGGCTTATAATCTTTTTGCTGCAATTTTTTTTGCAAAATTGTGTGGCCCAAAAATAATATCCAGACTAAGTTCGATTTGGACTCAGGCTTTAACCCAACCCGTATGGACCTTTTTAGAAACAATATATCTGGATATTATTGACTCCATGAGGAGTTAGTGGTGTGTTAACACTTGAAAATGGTCGGTTTAACATTTAATCATTTTTTGCCCTTTACAACAGTCTTCAGTGGACTGTTACCTTGCTTATTTGGCAAATGACTAAAGGTATCCACTGCAAGTCCTATAAATGACATGGTAGAGTTTCAGAAGACACGAACATAACATCATATGCATTTTACTCTCTAAAAATCCTCACACATTATATCACTTCGGCTCTATTTTAGTTTTCAGGAGCTCAAAAGTCTGATGTGCTACAGCCTTTGAAATGATTATCGTTGTATCTTTAGAGATAAGACAGCAAAAACTCATTTTCACTATACTGAGCGTATTTGTCTTGCAGAAAGATATATTATAGCCTCGACNTATTGGAGTTAATTCAAAAGAATCAATATCCGGGTCATATCTCAGGGAATGCTAGTCAGATTATTTTGCTCGGACACTCAAGCACAATAAGTGAAACTAAGACTGAAACACTCTAATTCAGATTGATTTAAGTTTTGTTACATATATTATTTGCATCTATAAATCCTGATATGATAAAACTTTTTTTCTACCTTAAAGATGAAAATAAGATGACTAAGAGTTGCAGATATGTAAATTAGCCTAATTTATTTATTTTTTATTTTTTTTGGAATTATGTTTAAACCCTGATTGGTTATAAATTATGTGGTCAAAATTGAAACCTCCTTAAATTCACTATTCATCCATTACTTAATTTTAACTGTTCCTCACTTACAATCAATTCTTCTATACTTTTACATCAAGTAAATTTTAATCATTATATTTTACATATTATTATAATATAAATTTAAAATCTAACTCAAACTTAACTCAATAAATTTTTCAAAATTAGCTCTGGTCATCTGACAAATTCCCCCTTTACTAACCTCAGCTTAAGGTGCGTCACATCCTTTAATAAACTTATATTACGAATATTTTCTCTTTTACTTTCAAGTATGATATGATCGAAACAAACAGTAAATTCTAGATGCTAAATCCCAAAAATACCTGAATCAGTTGCCCAAGTGAATATAACAATCTTTGTAAGTCCAGCTTAAACTGATGACTGAATAAAAACATCTACAAGAGGAGCATGCCAGTTTTACCAGTTTTTGCATCTTCTCAAGAGCTCATGCCTCCCTCTATATGAAACTAAGTCCAAATGATATCTACCTCTGGAAAGCACATCATTATGAATCAAAACTACATCTTGAATACACTAGAGGTGTGAATCTCTAATCAACAAAATTAAGCCACTANTGGGGAGAAAAGGAAAAAAGAAAATGAACACTTATTTCCCTGACTCCAGCGATATACATGTTACACATCCTTCGAGCTACCTGCTAACTCGAAGTGAGGGTGATTGCACATGGAAAACAACTCAACAACAATCAAGAAGATCCATTCAACTTAAAACTTCTTCGATAAAACCTAACAGCACCATGCTGTTTCATCTTCTCAATAGCTTCTTGTGTCCTGCTGCACTTAAGATCCAAATAAATCGCTGTAAGTATAGCTTGTGGACTTTTAGGTATATCACATAATGCCTTGGTCACAAAATGCTGAGCCTGCTCGAGATCTCCCAGCAAAGCCAAGTTAGCAGCATAATTCGCTAACAATATTCCACGTGCCTCTTCAGGACTAAGAAAAAACACAGATGATCCCTGGGATTCATCAGCTGCCTGTGCACTTTTCGAATCATCGTTGTCAAAAACCTTTTCCACTTTCCACTTTTCACAGTCTTCTCGGCTATAAGGTAGCTCAACAAGATTCCCACTTGAAACATACTTCAACAGGCCTTCAGCTGCTTCCTTGGGCCGATTTAGTAGGCACAGAGCCTCGGCTGCATATATAGTCCCCAGAAAAATGTATATCTTTGAACATTCAGGAAGTTCCAAAAGGGACTTTGCCGTCGATAGAGCTTCCAAAGGATTTCCCAGCGCCAGCTCGACATAAGCCAAATTGGCCAGCACGGCTTGCTTCATCATATGATTCTCCTTCATACAAATGTTGTCAAAGTCGTTTACAGAGTTCTGTAGTGATGCACTCGAATTGTTTCCACTCTTTTGCTCTTTCGCTTGGCCGTTTGAAATAACTTGACCTGGACCAGATGATGAATTAGATTCCCTGGGGTTACCATCCCCAACATTCGTGTGGTTTGTTTGAAGCGTTTTTTCTTTCGACTCGTTTTCCATAGTACCAAGTGGCGAAGAACCAGAAACAGAATACTTTGCCTTGGAGGAGTCCAAGAGATACAAAGCATTGACAAGACAATGCCAGGCAAGAGATATCGAGAGCTCGGGCTGTTTTCCATCACTCACAGACGAATCATCATAACTCAAAGCAAGATGCCTCCATTTTCCCTTCCCAATAACGTTGACTCTGATATCAGATCTGCTGGGAGCCGAAAAATTTGGCGTTATCAGACCCTTTTCCAGAGCCATCAGACAGCAGTCAGCAATTCGTAACCATAAAAGTGGTCTGTTGTAAAAAATTAGGCTGGCCTTTTGAAAACAGCGCGCGGCATGGAAAGGTCTGCCACAGGCAAATGCGTGCATACCACAATTATAGGATATCAGAAGAGACTTATCCTGGGACAGAGTTAGAAGTTTCGGGGGTTTCCCTTTACGAACAAGTGAGCAACCCTTTAGTGCTTTGGAGAAGAATATACCCGACGTATGATACTTTCCCAGTTGATAATAGATGCACCCGAGATTGTTGTAGTACATGCTAGAGATACCTGTCTCTGTTCGATTACTTGATGCCATCAGAAGTTTGATTGCTTTGCGATGGTTCCTTCGGGCATATTCGAGCTGAGATTTTAAATAAAGGGCCAGGGGATAATCCTTGCCACGAGCTAAATTCATAGCCATCTTGACTTCACGCTTGGCTGCTTTGAGATTCCGCGTGAGAAGAAAGAAACGAACTTTGTAAAGGTGCAGCTTAAGCCTTAAATCGGCGACGGATAAGGAGTTTTCCGATTGGCTTCTTGAAAGGTCATGTGAAGGTGAAATGCTGGAAAGTCTCTGAACGTTTTGACCGCTAATGTTAAGAAAAGATAGCAGCTGCAATGATTCGTCTTCAAGTGCTTCTTCAGACAAAGTTCTGGCTAAAGAGTTTTCTAATGTATTTGCAGCAACAGAATCCGTATGTGAAGAATCGGTCACAGTCGAATTGCTTGCTAGAGAAGTAGGTTTTGAAACCGAGGAAGATTGTTGATGTGCTGACGTTCCATTATCTACTTGACTAATCAAGTTGTTGACACAAAAGACTTTCTCCATGTAGCTTATAACATCCTGAACAAAAAAAATCAGTCTGCTCATACGGAGAATAAAAAGTGCACACAGCAATATCTTGACATCCACTAGTTAAATAACACGGGATAACATAAAACACTACAGAAAATTTATTACCTTAAAACAGTTAATCCTATTTCTGTTTTCCAACATCAAAATTTAAGACAATAGGAATTTCAAATTAGATTTATAAATACATCAGCTACAGTAGAACATGACATACAAAGATGGTCAAAAATCAGAGGCAAGAACACGAATTCAGATCAACAATCAAAAACAAGAACACAAGTTCAGGTCGTTTGCATATATCTATCGCATTTTCTTTCTAGTGAAGAATGTTCTACCCTAAATGTGATTGTTCATGCAATCACTCAGAAATGACGCAGCGCAAACTCCACTTTTTCTTTCACTAGTCACGTCTGGTCTTCTTAAAAATTTAATTACATAGGAGTCTCTGAATAACGCATAATTGACCCACTCTCATATTTCTAACTATCAACCGGTACTTTACTATTTCTATATCTTTCATCCATTGATTTTTCATCGTTACATTGTCCTTCCATATCCAGTCACATTCTTCCGAAACTTCATTATTATTCTCTAGCAGGGAAAAAATAAAATAAAATAAAACCATATTTCAACCAAAGCCTCAATTATCACTTTATTAAATATTTTAAATTCATATTTCATTTTACTCTCAATAATTCAAGGCAGTAAACTTATGGTACTGCAATCCCTGTCACACAAGGCAGTGGCCAAAAGCTTAGCATGAGAAATGGGGTGGATAAGAAGGAAATTGTCTCTGGAAAGAGTAACATAAGTCTACTGGACTTTTATATTTCATTGTCCTTAAAATTGCTTGGGCCCAGACAAGGCAACGCCAGAGCCTCAAGAGGCACCCCCCACCTCCAACCCTACCCAAAGGGTGGTTAAAGGATATAACTTATTTGTCAATCAAATCCAACAATGCAGGTCAGACAATCGCCTTATCTTCTGACATGCAATATTCAACTCAATCCATTATCATATTCCAAGAAAAAGGAAAGGAACCGATAACCTATTTAGTTTTGAACCCCTATATCCACCAATAATGGTGAACTACTTCAACTGCCCTTCCCTATAAACTCTAATGAAATGGTTTAAGCAATTATAAGAAAGGATGAATTTTGAAAACAAAGTATAGACATCAAACCCAGTGGAATTTTCATACAATGTTTCCAAATATGAGTGGATTGAATTATAAAAGAAATGGAGAAAAAGAAGCGCAAGAAATGCAAGTCATAGGAATCCTAGCCAGATGCTGCAAACATAAAGTCAGAGGATGAAAGAATTTCGGCATCTATGTGACGCTCGTAACACTGAACCGAATAATGTGAAGCTAGTAGAAGGGATTTATTTCTAATTTTAATCAACATGCAGTAAACCATAGGAATATTCTAGAACTACGGATTGAGCATCCTTAACAACAGCAAACAAGTTAAAGCAAGTTGAAAAAAACTGGAACACCCCTTGCAACTTCTATAAGCTTCTGGAAGGGGTAAAATAGAATATATAGAGCACTGATAACGATTGATATTGTGCTTTCTATTTGTGTATTCTAAATGCCCTCCATATTTGATGTTGATAAGAACTCTTAGCACAACTAGAACCTCTATTTTTTACTTAAAATCATCCTTCTAAAAGCCAGATGGAACATCGGAAGATACACACGACATAGGAAGTCGCTAATGCACTCTTTATTTAAATGAAAATAACTAGGCAACTTTAGAAAATTATCTATCATCCTTATGTTCCTTGGAATTTATATACCAACTCTTAAATGACTTCTCAAGCACTTGGGATTCAAACAACATTTTTTACAAGCAGAAAATATACATGGCATGGTCTCCCTGCCACATGCCATGACAGTGTTAGTACAAACCTCTAGCACTGCTTTTACTTGGTATCAAAGGAAGAGAAAAATTAAGTGTATAAAGACCATAAACAGGACTGAATTTAATTCAGCATTTGGAATCAATCATCGGATGATCATTCTTCATGTGTGAACTAGAGAAAATAGTTTGTATAATCATTAAAGTCATAGCCCATTCCACTTCAAAGAAGTTAGATAGTTCTTTCATAATGTTTCAGTAGGGATGAAATTCAAATATGATAAACAGGGATGGAAGTTCTAAAAAGGTTGTTTAATAAAAAGATATCTCGCATTTCCAAAGACAGTGGAAGGATCCATCCATCGCATCGGCCTTTCTATCTCCACAGCGCTGATCGTTTAGTTTTCACTGGCAAATGGATGTGGGATGGAGCTTGAATTAAGGAACCCAGCGGTAAGCTTTATCTCTTTAAGGAAGAGAGCTAACCAAGAGGTGTGTTCACCATATTAGGATCTGCAATGGCGCATTCCTTCAAGGCTTTCGTCAGTCTTTAGCTCTTCCGGCTGCTTACTCGGATTGACCTTTCACTATTCCCACCTCGTTTAGCTTTCCTCATTTCTATCTTATCCTGGGCAGACTCCTTCTCCTCCCGAGTTCACTTCCGGCTTACACCGGGCTGCTGTCATCCCTCCTTTGGCAAGCTGGAACATAAGAACTTTTCACAAAGTCAACATAGGAGAGTCTTCTTAACAGCTGTACTAATGCCGTTCGCCGCTGGGAGAGCATGTACCGTTACGAGCTAATGACCGAGCGCGCGTAGAAGGCATATGGTTGCTTCTCCTGAGTGCAGCTTGTGTGGAATGGCACCGGAAACAACGTTGCATTATCTTTCGATCTTTTACCATCCGCTATCCCAAGCTTTCTTGATGATCACACAGCTTACCGCCCGCCATGTCTTGATTTCGAAAAGTCTGAACTTGAACCCTAGCGCGTGAACACCTCTTTACGTGCGTTCTTCTTTATTATAGGATTTGAAATTTCATTTTTGAGCTCAGCCTCTGACTGTTGACTGTTCACAACTAATAGGATAAGGTCTTTGTTAGCTATTAGCTTAATTGGCAACTGGGATGGGACACAAACGAAGGAGGTTTTAGAATGACTGAAATTTCTCAGCTTAAATACTACCTCTTCGAGGCATTTCTTTTTGATGAACTCATTTAGGTATATTAAGATCTTACAACTCGTTTAATTGTTGTTAGGTGTAGGCACACAAGCTTTTCTGACGCAATTATTCAGTGTAACTGGTCAAACCAAATGCATGTTCTTATCTTATCTTTGTCAAGAATATATGACTCATTTGTGTTCCAAGAACTCATTCGTGTTAGTGTAGGCACACAAGCTTTTCTGACTCAATTATTCAGTGTAACTGGGTAAACCAAATGATGTTCGTATCTTATCTTTGTCAAGAATATATGACAACCCACATTCCTCACATTCCTTAAATCAGAATTAAAGGTTCTTCCCATGAACATGGTGTCAACTGTCAAGATATTAGATCACTATGCATCAATATAATAATCAAACAAAAACATTTGTAAAAAGATGCCATATAGTCATATACCTTTACACAGTTCTGTCGATCAGAGTCAATATGATAATTTAAAATTTAAAAAATTATTCCATTAAGCATAAGGAACTTACAGCAGATCTTGATGCATGATGAAATACTAAAGCAACATCCAGCAACAAAAGGCATATACGAAGGGCTGTTGCCTGCAAGTTATCTTCCAAATGTTAAGCAAACAGACCCATTCAAGTATTAGTAAATGGATTTGTTCTAATGTGAAATTGTCACCTCGTCAATGGGTTCAATGTTCCGATAAAATGTTTCCAAATATGAGAATGATTTGGCATAATCATGAAGATGAAACCAGATAACAGCCTGCAATCAGAAACGGGCATGGAAACTAAGATACAGACAATAAAGTTTCAGAAACCGACCCAAGCAATCACAGAAGTTGAGCATACTAAGTTAAACATTGCAACAGAGGTGTCAAAGTCGTCGTTGTAAACAGATGAACTAGAAAGCTGATGCACAGCATTATTAGGTCCCTTCACGACAGCCATAGATTTTCTTCCATCATTGCTGGTAATCTCCAAGGGTTCTGCAGATGTATGTGCAAGCTCCTCACTTTGTTTCTAATTAAGTAAAAAATACAGTCAGTGAAACTAAATGCAACGATAATGAAAACTCATGCACACAGAAAGGTTCGATATCCACAACAAAGAACACCATATAAATGAAAGCAAGATTCCAATATTGAACTCTTGACACTAGTTATCAGTGTAATGATGGTTTGTCAGAAGTAATGAATGGAGTAAATGCTCCTGTGCCACGCAATACCAAAGGGAAAGGTTAGATGATGAAATTAGAAGTCGTTTTAGATGTAGCGCATTGAAACAATATATATAAAATCTGCTTTGAAACAATATCCATTGGCTGAGACCTGGGTGCTTTTCTTTGTAATAAGAGTTGCTGCCACGATCATGCACAAAATAGAATTATGCATGTTCTTTCTTAACATATTGAGTGTTTGTAGTTCCAGCTAATAAACAGATTTGCTGAGTAAAATCATTCTATTAAATAGAAGAAAAACCTAACATCGAGTAATTATGTATGTTCAAATTACGAATCAGGCGATTGAAGGTTGAGTATTCAAATCCAATTCTTGCATGTACCCTTTCAAATGACAATATTTTAAGTTTTATTAAACTACAGATGTTTGCTGAATTTTTTTTAACAAACATTACTATAGATCAACGCATTCAAAATTACTTCTCCCAATTTTCAGTTACCTAAAACCGCACTCAATCTTTAACCATGCCCAAGCAACACCCCATATAGGTTCCCTCTTTCCTCTTAATTTCTGTTGTACCATCATGAAGAGTATAGATGAGTATGCTCATCGGTCGCAATTCATTATGGAATTGGTGTCTGATCAACTGGTGGGAGAGGAGAATAGAAGAAGAGAAGTTTGGGAGGAAGAAGTACACATTGACGGCTGAGGTAAAGAGCCGAAGAAGGATTGGCCGTTCAAGTGTTAACAAAAAAGAGGGCAAACAAGCTAAAGGAGCCGATGCCTAACCAACGATGGCATCGTGTAAGATACCAGCAGACGCTTATCCCCAATGTTTGTATTGAGGTTGGGTTTGACCAACTGATGAGGGGAGAGGCAAATAAGAAAAGGAAGATTGGAGGAGAACGTAATGTTCAGTATGAAGGTGTTGGGTTCAATCATGGAAAGGATGGGAATAACTTCCTGTGCGTGATAGCAATGCCAAACAATCAAGGCGATAATTACAAAAGAACACATCCACGATGTCTAACATGGAAACCAAAATAAGTTTATAAATGTAAAATTTTAAAAGAACAAAAAAAATATGGGCCCACCATTACTCACAAATCAAAATAAATGTTGAATTAAAAACAGATCTACAGATACATCATAACATATTTTTGTTCATATCACATAGCCTAATGCATTACTCAAGCAAACTCCATTTGTCTTTAAGCAAGGTTTTGGAGACGACAGGACTCGAGTTCCAGAGGGCGATACGCCGGTCGAAAATCGGGTTTAGATGAGGAGCCTCGAGCTCGAAAGGGAGCTCCTTGAGCCAAGGAGTGGAGGCCCAAGGATAGGGAGTTCTAGGTTGGACAAACACAAATTTGTGCTTCCATTTAGGACAGTTTGAAGGGACGTCGGAAATGAAGTGAGCACCATTTCGACTCTTTATGTAGAGTCCACTGACCTGTTTCGAGGCCGTGTAACAATAAAAGAAAAATCTAGGTCGGTTCGTCGGACAAAGGAGAGGATAATGTAAGTGGTCAGAAATCGGATAGAATTTGGGGGATGTTGGTTTAAGGGAAGGCCGAATATCCCACACTTCTCGAGAAGTGCGGGACAAATAGGGAAGCGGACACCCAGGTCGAATTGGATCTTATAATAACCCTCGGAGGGTTGGTCGTAGGTATCATCATCACTGGGGGATAGATAGCCCCAGGATGGCCGACTTCATTAAGGTCTAGCCATTTGATGTGTTTGGAGCGAGAGCGGGATTTTTTAGTTCGGCGGCGAGGATTGGGATGATTGGTCGAAGGATTAGTCTTGGTGGTTTTGGAAGAAGATGAAATGGTCGAAGATACTGGATTAGAATGGTGGACCTCGTGGTCTTCCCCCTCGACGGCCGCATCGGCGGCATCGTGCATACCAAAGGGTCGGCGAGAACGGCAAGTGAGAGGCACGTGATCAAGAGCATCTTCATCTGGCTTCCCAATCAGACGAAACATCTGGATGCACCAGGATCAATGTAATTGACCTCGGCTGGATTCTCTCGACTCTTGAGCCTGCCATTATTGCTCAAGTTGTTGACTGGCGGAGAGGAGAATGGTCGCGATGAGTTTGTAGGGATTGCATGTCGAATGAAGGAGAGTGGAGTGGGTAGGAAAATTTCTTCAACTGAGAGAAGGAGACATAGGTGGAGTGGTCGAAGAAGACGGAGGAGACATGTCCTTTCCATAAAAACGGTAATTTTTGCTCGAAGTAGCAGAATCTGAAAAACAAAAAAGAGAAGATATCAAAAGAGGAAATTTTTAAGGTTTCGAATGGGGAAGAAGAAGAAAGGAGGAGGATTTGCAGCGGAGAATTGAAAGGAAGGTGCAAAAGAAGTCGATAAACGGAATATTAAAAATAGAAAATAAAAAACATGAATTGAAGAGTTAGAAGACTTAAAGAGGTTCTTCAGAGAAGTTTGAGTTGAGAGACGAATCGCAGAGAGCTCGAATGATTAGGGCACAAGGATAAGCACAATTCGAGAAGGTGGAAAACCGACAAAGTGTTGTATTGAGGGTTTCTTAGGAGACGTGAAAAGAAATCTGAAGATTCGTGACCGTTGGATTAGAGATGGAATTGATGGCTCGGATTTATTAGGTTAGTTGAAAAGGTGGAAGAAATATAGTAGTCGAATTGGGTATAAATCTGGCGGCTACGGTGAAGGGGCATATTAAAAGGACACGAGACACAAGGAGGCCCGGTTTACGGGGGCAATGATGACGGCTTGACAGGTGAAAAACTAGTTCGGCAAGTGATCAGTTTGAAATTTGAAATTCAGAAGGGCAGTCGAAAGAGGAGATGGTAGAAAAGCATAAAGGAACGCGACGTGTGGTCGAGGCACGAGCGACATGTGGTCAAGGGATAGCAAGTGGCACGACAACCAAATGGATGGACGAAAATCTACTCTTGGATCGAGTCATTAAGACTCGACTAGAGTGAGGAAGACTGGATGATATGGGATATTATCCCTAAAGGAGTAAACCACCAGCAAGTCGGTCGAATGAACCAAACCAGCCGCCTTGGTCAAACAGAATCCGAGTAGGGTGGTCGTGGTCGAATCATCACAGAAACAAGAGCCTCTGGTTTTGGAGTGGAAGATAACCCATCGAAGATCGACCTGCGCCACAAATGGTCTCGACCAAAACCCAGACTCAGAGCAGTCAGCGCTCCGCATCAAATCGACCTAGACTTGGTCGAGCATTCGAGGAGATTTCGGGGGAATCCAACCCCCACATGCGGAGGACACGTGGCACGACCTGATTGGTCCATATAGCATAACCATCGCTGACACACCTTCAATGCGTGTTGTAGGATGGGGCAACTTTGGGCAACCACCTAAGCTCATATGCAGAGCAGGTACCTCACCCCTATATATATATATAGGGGTGAGCTTTACGATTTCAGCATGACATTTTCTATTATACTCTTGAGAGTAGAGCTTATATTGACTTAAGCATCGGCTCACCGGAAAACCATCCGGCGTGAGAGTTTTTGCAGGTACTCGGCGTTCTACCCGCGAGGAGGAAGAAGGTGAGCCGATTTCCAACCAGTCGGATTGTTCGACGTTACCACATATACTTAATAGTTAATGCGCTTTAGGAAACACTAATAATCTGAACCAAAATAAGGAAAAAAAAAGAAAGAACACATTTGAATCACTATGTTAATATATAAATATACAATCCAATCTTATGTATATACAACAATAAAAAATATTCATATAGAAGCTTGATGTGACAGTCCTGCCTTCAGAGAAGGCTCGATGAAAATATATATCTCTGATAATGCATCAAATCAACAATTTCTAAAATTTTATTTCAAACACTTTACCAATTTGTAAATATTCCTTGGTGCAAACCCCAAAACCAAGTTTATCTAAAGAACTCAAGATGTTACCAAACCAAACCCTAATATTTTCTCTCAGTTCTAGTTGCAGCTTGACAAAATCAAACGAAGCCCATAATGAACCAAACTAGCTTTGGATAGCAGACTTGAGATTCACTTTGTTGCTAGGCAACCTCTTAACGACAACCTCTGTCAAGCTTTATTTTAAGCTGAAGACTGAAAATAGCATTCATCATACTCATACCAAAAGAAAGCATGTCATAGAATAATTATAATTCAGGAAAATAACTCAAGATAACATTTAATCAAATTGAAAAGTTGATACTCGACAACATTCGAGTGAAAATTAGTAATTCTAACCTTGGAATCATCTCAAAAGGCAAAAAAATTAAGGTGCCAGAGAATGAAACAACAATAGACAAGTATGGAGCTCAGGAGACAGGGCAGAGAATAAATTAGGCTGTAAATGAAATGCTAAAAGATAAATTGGATAATGAATAGAATCCATTTGAAAAGATAGAGATGAAGTTAGAGACATAAATCAAATTCTGACAGTTTTACTAGTAATACTTATAATCCAAATCAAACAAACTAAGCAATGGAGCAACTCCTCCACAACATATCTCATATACTATCAATCTCTATAAAGGTCAAATCTATGTCATTTAATCAAGTAGGGAATCAAGTAGGGAACCAAGCCCATTTGCTTGGCAATAACAGTTGTCTAAACCGCAAATCCAATAACTGGAGATCAAGTTTCTTTGTTTGAAATGTTTATATTATAAGTACTCCACAAAACTGGAAATTCACAACTGATATCTATAATAATCAGATTAACAAATGATAAAGCTACTATTTATTGAACATAAAATTATCACTCATAAATTCATGTAGCATAATAAATTAGCATGTTGATGTTATCTAATTGTTCAGTATATCTCTTCTGGTATCAATTATACTCGACTGTATTGACAATCCACAGACAAGATTATTTTACTTTCAATAATCATGTTTCCAGTATAAATGACTCCATGCCAAACAATGGCTCTAGAAGTTGATAAATATCTCTCTTGCAAAAATAAACAAAGTGTAAGACTTTGAGAGTTGATATTAATATCACGGTACAGAACAATGAATAAATAATATCAGTTTGCTCAAAAACATGTCCTCTGAAACGAGACATGTATATTCTGAGAGTATACTTCACCACAATATGCCGCAAATATCCTGTGCAGCGTTTTAGCTTCTTGTTCAGCACATGATATACTCAATAACGATGATCAAACAAGTAAATAGAGAGAGAAAGAGAGAGATTGAAGGAGGGATAATAGGCATAAAAATATCCAAATGCAAAACAAACGGGGCCAACATCTCCCATTCAATAATCCATAGAAGCCGAAGCAAAATATAGCCCACTAATCAGTTGAAATATAGAAGCTTAAAATCATATATAAAACGGAAAGCAATCTACATTTCACCACTTTCAGAAGCAGTAACTTATGAGAAGTTCTCCAAATGCTAAAAACGCAAAAACTCCAATACCACATACATACAACTGGCCATTTGACCATTCAAATGTTACTTGTAATAGTTTTGTGCAAGCAAGACCGTGACAAACATTAAAAATCATCTTATTTCCAGGCAAATCCCATACGTAACACTTGATGGGGTTAAGGTTAATCTAGCGAAGGGNGAAAAAAAAAAAAGAAAAAAAAAAAAGAAAAAGGTTGCTTCCACAACTTGCAATTCTTTGCCCAAGCTGCATCTTGCAATTTAGACATGAATGGGTGTCACAAGCTCTTTAAGTTCCCCTAATCTATAGGTTACTGAACAAGTTGTCATAAGATACGCTACTTTCACCACTGACTACAATCTACAAAGAACCTGAAACTGTTATTCACTCACTGGTCAATACTCATCATTAAATGACAAGAACGACTTCACATGTATATATTAAAAAAATGAATGCTGCAGGTTGCACACACAACTAAAACTCTCACCGATACTCGTAGCGTTGAGGTGGAGTATCATGTAAATACTAACCAGGATGTTTTCAAGTGCTCCAATAAGCCTTTTAGGATCTGAACAGCCATCTTGAAAATTCTCCGCAATGGCAATATTATGTCGCACCTAGAAAATGGAACAGAATACGGATGCATCAGGATGGTTAGAACTGGTATGTCATGTCACTTCATATTAGATTCAAAATTCGGAGACAAAATCAAGAATGGCAATGGAATATAAGAAATCATCATCCTGGTCACTCAAGGTTTTGGAGCCAAGTTCAACATTGAAGTCAGTCCTTCAACCTCATTATACTATTATATTAGAAGCATTAATCTCACTGGCATTGATAATTAATAGATTGGTACTTTTGCAGTTATGAATTTATTTACAATTCAATAGACATACATTCAATCCACTAATCAGCAAAAATATTATTATATGCTATCTATATAAATATTTTGACTGAATATGAAAATTCCAAGTTCTTTAACAAATAAGTTATCAATGATCCAACAATCACGTGTTTAATCAACTAAAAATTCATTTTGTTTATCCAATTTATAAACAAAAAATATAACTCAATCCAAGTCTATTTACAGTTTCTGTTCAACTTCACCTCAACATTTTAGTTGAGAATAGTCTATAATTTGATTAATGACAACCTTTACATGAACAAACAAAACCCTTCTGACATTTCAATATTACTATCAGACTTACTGAAAATATCTAGATTCTATGAAAAGTGGAATATAACTGTGTATGTATATAAACATATAAAGGAAACTATTTAGAGTGTTATTCAATACATATCTAGTAAATTGTAGTCAAATCATTAGTGTAACCAAATGAATAGAATCATTGAGTTATACAGGAAATAACGAACTTCACAAAAATTATAAGTTTGGCGGAATAATAGAAGTAGCACATCCACAACCACGACCAGTTAGACCATAAAAGATACTTATGTATTAGAAGTTAGAAAATTATGAAATAGTCATCTACCATGCGATAAGTACAAACATACTAAAGTCAAACTGCTAACTCACATAATGGTCCCCTACCAACCTATTGGTGAAGGCATATAGTTACTTTATGGTCATCCCTAATACTTCATTTTTTCTTTAGGTCAATAAATACTAAGGTACACTCTGACTAGAGCAAACATATAGTTACTTTATGGTCATCCCTAATACTCAGGTACGAAAGTACAAAAGGAAATCATAACAAGGTTGGATCAACAAATATCTGTGTATATGTAATAGAAGGCAAAAGTAAACCAGAATCATCAGTAGCATCTCTCCCGTGATATGGATTATTCAACAGTTAATAATATGGTTTTAACAGTGCCTCAGACTTGATTAACGTTTTACCTTAGAACAACAAAAAAAAGTGAAGTGTACTGCACACAACAAGTATTGACAAGTGTACATGCATTTTCCTTATACAAAAGATGAAGTCATTAGAACAACAATAATACACTTCATATTAACTCAGGGCAAAACTCAACTTTTAAAGAATTTGCACCACCAAGATAATAGTATAACAAGAACTTATAAGTTATGAAATGGAGTGACTCAAAAGGTACTAACTGAAGAAACTAAATAAATACCTTCTTCCACATATTATAATAAAAAATGAGTGGATGATATCAAGA